AGCTACACAGACTCCTCTTGATGACACTGCCTGTCACAGGACACTTTATGAGCGCTCTTGTGCACCAGGTGCTGTTCTGGTTGCCCAGGATGGAGCAGGGAACAAAGCAGTCCTTGCCCTCAAGACCTCCCTTTGCTACCATTAGACATTACGTGTTCCCAACAGTTTCCTAGAGTGTACAACGGCGCATGTATAGACATGTATCTTTGCATGCACGTGAAAGTATTACACTTGGGTAATTTATGTTAAAAGGAATTGTGCATATCACAACTTTTAAAAATATATCTTTTTTTTTTCTTTTAACATCAAAATTGTTTTTGAGACAGGGTTTTATTATGTTGCTTTGGCTGGCCTCAAATTCCTGTCTCAAGAGATTGTCCTGCCTCAGCCTCCCACATAGCTGGGACTACATCTGTTGTATTTTTATTTTTATTTTTGCAGTGCTGGGGATGGAACCCAGGGACGTTTTACCATATGTAAATTAATACATATGTATGTACATGCATCTGCCGTGTATACACGTGTCCATCTAGGCACACATGCGTTCCTTTGGCCTCCAGTAAACGAAGCATATATGACAGGCCTTGAACTGGACCAGGGGACTCCATAGCAAGGTGTCTGGCCTTGTGCCGCTCCTGTTGGAGTGGGAGAAAGAGCTAAATGAATGGCCTCATAGGGTTTGTCCGGGGGCCGAGTAAGGGTAAGGATTCTCTGAGGCACTCCCACTTTTCCCAGCTGTTCTGCAGGCTGTGGTCACAGTAAATTCCTTCCTTCCTCTTTTCTTTCCCATACCTAATCCAGTGCTTAAGTTCACTTACCTCTCAACTTCAAGAACACTGCGGCACCGGATCAAATTCAAAACTGGGGATATTCAAGAGGCTCTAAGCCTTTGCTGCTCTAAGCCTTTGCTGGTTGCTGCTGTCTCAATCATGACTAACTTTTCTCATGGCTCAGCACCTTCTCTCAGTGCTTCCTGTGAAATGTGCCCCCTTTCTCTTTCCCTGCCATGGTCTGAGCCACCACTGTCTCTTTTTTTTTTAAAAAAATATTTATTTATTTTGTAGTTTTTGGCGGACACAACATCTTTGTTTGTATGTGGTGCTGAGGATCGAACCTGGGCCGCACACATGCCAGGCGAGCGCGCTACCGCTTGAGCTACATCCCCAGGCCCCACCACTGTCTCTAGAAGGACTGTTTGAAACATCCTCCTCACGGGTCTGCTTGCCCCCTGGCAACCAAGGCATGTTCCACACAGCAGCTCAGCTAGAGGAACTTCTAACAGCATATTTTGGATTTTTTTTTTTTTTTAACTGGGGATTGAACCCAGGGGCACTTAAGCACTGAGCCTTTTTTGTTGTTGTTTTGTTTTTGAGATAGTGTCTTGCTAAGTTGCTTAGGGCCTTGCTAAGTTGTTGAGGCTGGCTTTGAACTTGTGGTCCTCCTTCCTCAGCCTCCAGACCCACTGGGCTTATATGTTGGATCTTGCCACTTTCCTGCCAACATCTTCTGATGTGTTCCTTTGGACTTATAATAAAATAAAATCTAAGCTCCTCTTAGGCCCTCAAGGGCCCATGTGACCAGGGCCCTGCCTGCCTGCAACCCTCTCTGCCCCCTCTACTCACGCCATTTCTCACAGTCTCCTAAACACCCCAACTCATGCCTTTTCCCCCAGAGCTTTTTGTGTGTGGTGGCCCTTATTATTTACTGGGCTGAGAAGACACCTCCAGGAGGCCTTCCTTGAGCGTGCCTTCTGAATCAGGACCCCAGACCCAGGCATTCTTTCACATTTCCTGGACTTCCTTCTCCAGACAACTTGCCTCAGGTCCTGCTTGGTGTTGGGTTGCTTATGTGTCTGATCAGGACCTCAAGGAAGAAGGATAGGCCATACCTGGGAATTTGGGGGACTGAAGAATTGTGGGAGTGCTGGGCTGGAGCTCCCCACCGACCATGCTCAGATGCCCTTGTCCTTCCAGGACTGAGCCTTTTGTAGACACACCCTCAAGGTGTCCTTGCAACATTCTAGAAAGGTTGATATTTTTATTCACATTTTGCAAGTGAAAAAACTGTGGATCAGAAATGGAAGATTCCCTTCTATGCCTATAAAATCATACCCGAAGTTTGTGTGACATAAGTGGTCAATAGCATGCCAACTGGATTTCGAACTCAGTTCTGCTGGTTTCAGGACAAGTGATCTTAGCCATGTCATACTGAAATCCCTCCCCATTGGCAGCACCAGAGCCTCAGTGTTCCAAACTGAGCCTACACTGCCAATATACACCAGAGCCAGGATTCTAACTTGGGCTTGTTTCACCCGAAATTTAGCATCCTGTGTTGATACCATGATCTCTGCTTTGCCCAGACACCATTGGGGAAATGAGGGAAGGGAAACTTCCTGGGTTCCCAGCCTTCAGGCTGCAGAGAGATAAATGGAGCTAAGCCTGGCAGCAAGGCCCACCCTACTTCCTGTCGGAGAGGACTGAGGCTGAGGTTATTCTCGGTCACAGCTGAGGAGTCACCCAGGCCTTGGGATATCCTTGACTGGCTCCCTCTGAAATTACCTCCTGGGTTCAGGTAGCCAGGCCCAGGCAGGATTAATGAGAACACACCCCCTGTGCTTGTGGACAGCACAGTGTAGCACTCAGCACTCAGGTCAAGGGGTTTAAATCCTCTATGACTCTACTTCCCTGCCTATAAAAAGGATACAAAGAAGCATGGGGATCTACTATTATAATTTTTCTCCAATCTGGCTGTTATATCTAAATTATGGGACCAATGAGAGAAGCATGGATGGCCCACCAGTGTCACTGGGAAGCAGGAAGAAACCAGAGATGGGAGTCTTCATTCACACGTCTAGACATAACACATGCTCCAGTCCTGCCCAATCTGCCCATGTCTCAGAATCCTCCTCTCATTTCTCCATGCTGAAGTCCTGCAGCCAGCCCCTCTTGCTCTGATCACAACAGACCCCTCACCCACCTGTTTTCTATCTTCTCCCTTCCATATCACCTGAAGCCAGAGCAAGCTTCTTACCAGAAAAAGCAAGTCCTACAGGTCAAAACATGTTGGTGGTTTCCTTCTTACACTGGTCTACTAGACTGGCAGATCAGGCTGCTACAGGCCTTTTTTAGCCTCATGGCTTGCCCCTCAAATCACCACAATGCAGCCAAAGAGGTACTGGTAACTTCCTGTGAGCACCATGCAGTATGTCAGGCCTCTGGTGGATTTCTGCCTGCATCCTGTCCCACCCAATGCATGCATCCTGAGGATGGCTTCGGTTGCTTTCTGCAGGAACCCTTCTCTTTGAGTCTCCTTTCATCCCCACATGCCAGGTGCCTCCTTTGAGATCTCCAGCTTCCTCTGTCTCCTACTACAGTTCTTATTCACCACATTTGTTACTGCTTATATCCAGGTCTGCTTTTCCACAGATCCTAAGCTTGGAGGGGTCAGTGAGGGCGAGACCACCAGGCTCCCCATTGGGTCCCTGCTCAGAGTAGTGCCCCTAAACATTTGGGAACTGGAAGAATGAGTTAAAAAATACCGAGGGCCTTGGGAAACCCAAGTTCCTGAAGTTGCTCCATCCCCAGAACAGTTAATCTAGCCAGTGACACTATTTAAGAAACTACAGGACAACAAAAGACTTAGATAACATCAAGGAATGAGATAAGCTGGGTCACAAGGCTGCTTGATGAACTGCTTCAAGTCACCTTCACGGCAGGCGAAGCCTTTGCAGACACTTCGCAGATTTGGAGGGTAAGAAACCAGCTTCTAGGGCCACCTCTCTGCGTGTCAGTTTTCTGAGAAATGGGACTCGCTCTCTTCAGAGCCTACTTTAGTGTTCAATGAATTAAAATCTGGCAGGACCTTGGAAGGTCGTGCCATTCACAGTTTTCAGACTGTTTCTCCTCGTCATTGTTTCTTCTTTTCTTCTGCTCCCGCTCTCCTCTCTGCCCTGCTAGCGGCTGCTCCCTGCCCCGCGACCTCCCACTGCCTGGCCTGGGCCCCTC